CCGACCAGAAACAAGAACAAGCAAAAACTAAGAGAAATATCTCAGAAAAGTAGCTGCAAAAATTTAAGATTCATGGTTCAGGACTGTCCAGTTCACAGCATCATTGTACGTTCTAGGTTGGATTAAAAACAATTTTTAATGTACAGAAAGCTTTTTTGTCTGAGAAAATTAGAACATGGAACCAAAGATAGCCAATTACATCTCTAATATCTGGCATTTAATACCTCGGATAACACAAAACAAGAAGTTCATCCAGTGAGACCGCAGCAAAGTTGATCACTCGAATAATTATGAATTAAGACATTTGCTACACATGAATTTCTTTCTTTCTTTAGACGCAGTTTGCCCCCTGCCAACCAATCAAGACAGGACCTCTCAAGAACTAAAAACACCCTGTTTTTTAAGAAACAAAGCAAGCAAAACTATCAGAACAACGACGCTGTTTCCTCTGTTCATAAAGGGTTAACTGACCACTAGAACAACCGGAAAACAGCAACCACAAGGATTAATTAAGTTCATTCATCATCAGAAACATATATGAACAAGCTAATTACTACTTGGAACAAAAAAAAAAGCAAAGACATTTTCTTCTGGTTTTTAGCTTGCCTCAAATAAAACAACCTACGAAAACCGACCACTTCCAAGAAATCAATTAGCATAGGCATATGATAACAAAGCAAGACGGCTCAATATGTGAATGTTAAAAGATCGAAGGAGATTCAATCTAGATAATGAGAGAAACAACATCAAGGTAAGAATCAAATGAGAATATGTGAAAAAAATTGTAACATTGCCAAAATTGTAAATTCTATATCAGGGTTCATAAGAAAAATTAAGAAAATATTAAATTTATATTGTTTGATGAAATTACAATGGAAAATGATTAAAACAACTTAGAATAATAAGTAATTGAAGATAAAAAAAATCCAAGTGTTGTGAAGAATTTGGTGCCACCCATAAAGAGAGAAAAGATGAATTTTTTTTTAAGCAATGTATGCAGGGTAGAGCAAAATAAAATAAAATTAAAGGGGATTAAATTAAAAAAATTATCTAGAAAAAATAAAATTTGAATTATTTTATATAAGGATTGGAAAAAATTTCCTTGCACAAGCTGAGGCCCTACCAACCCCTTTACCTCTACCATTGAATGAAGGAATACTGTGGTTATGATTATTGTAGCTTGTGTTGAAATATAAAGAATGTATTAAAAAGAAAAGGGATTTTTATATGTAATTGTAATGGAAAAACTTGGTGAAGCTTTGGATTATAAATATTTTGAGCCATGAGGAATTATGAAATTTTATGTAAGATTGACGAAGGAATTAAGGAATGTTGTGGAGGATAGTTAACTGCTTGATAATGACAAAAATTAATAATAAATTTATGCATGATCATTGAAGTTTCATGCTATCTTTTTAATAAAATTAACCTCACTTGAATAAGAATTTTAAAACTTTAGACACGGGTTAAAAACTGAAAAATAATTGGACTAAAATTTTGTTTGATAGTTTTTAATCGTGACAATAACAAGTACTTTATGAGGTGTAAATGACGGGACTCGCTTTTTTTTCCCCATCAATAATGCTATAGCCCTTTATCTTATATTTTTGAAGAAATAAATGATGCATGAAACTGAATTCTATCATTTTGGATAGGGTTAAATTATTGATAAGTGTTTTGAGTGAGTAAGTTAGGTTAGGTTGGGTAAAAATAACTAATTTTAAAAACATTGTTTAAAATTGTTTTTGATATAAGATTAATATGATGAAAGTTATAAAAATTAAAAAGTTAATATGAATTGAAACTAGTGTCCTGATTAATGGATAATCAAGAAACTAGTTGCTTTAATTGATAAGATTAGTGTTCTGGTTAATAGTTATATAAAGATTTTAATTCATTGGTTAATAAGATAACTCTCTAATTAATTAAAGAAATTAGTTAATGAGTAATTAAAGAAATCCGTTAATATAGAAATGGAATGAATATCCTGTCTGGACAAGAGAAGATATTTTGTTCTTAAACTAGAAAAATTACATAAGTCAGGAATAATCATATAAAAGTAAATATCTTTTGTGTGTAAACTAATTATGTTGCGTATTATATAAATTTCAGATACTTCATAGCGTGATAATGAGTATTAGATTTTGTATAATCAATGCATATTTTGCTATGTAGTATAATTTTGTAATAAAAAAAATATATGAATCTAAATTAATCATGAATGATGTATTCCAATTAATTTATTTCGAGTATAATTATATGGACTAAGTTTTAGGTTTAATTTGCAATGAGATGAACATGTGTATAGATTTATGCCATAATTATGTTAATCTTCTCATTACTTGAAATATTATTGAATAATATAATAATTGATTTGTTTGATGAAATACGAAAAGTTTATTATTGGGATGGTTATAAGATATAAATATGAAAGTTCCTGGTAATGAGAATATGTGTAAATTTTATTTACACACTATAAAAATTGATTGAGTTGATAACTTGGTATTGAAAACTACAAAGTAAACACTATCAAGATTTTGGTGTGTGTATATAATTTTCTATACTTTTAATGATAATACAATATATAAATGAAATATCCTCTAAATAAACTTGGGGTTATTACAAAAATAATGTTTAACAGATCAGAAAAGCTAAAACTTGTCCTAATTAAATTTTTTTTCTGCAAGATGAGGGGAAAAACTTTTAATAAAACTCATCTTGTAAAATAAAACTTATTTATACCAAGAATAACCTTTTTTATTGTTAAAATATGGTTAACTACTAACTTCCTACCTCGCTTTTTCTAAAATTTAGTTTAATATTTAAAACCTGTAACTTGTGAAATCTTGGATATACATTCAATAAAAAAATTTAACTTTCAACAAGTTTAATTTTAAAGGACAAAATCATATAAAAAATATTAATAAAAAAACTTTCAAAAGAGAAAAAAAATAACAATAAAAAACAAGGATAAATTTAATAGAAAAAGCCTAAGGAGGATGAAATTTGAAAAAAAATATCGAAAGCAACTCCCTTGAAAATAAATTATAATTAAAAGAATGAGAATCAAATTTAAAAGATTAAAAATCACAGTGATGAAATTGATTTTTTTTATAATTTAATAAATTATTTATAAATTAAAAAATAATAAATACAAAAATAGAAAGAAATTGCCGAGGGTTAACCAAACATAGTTAAAAACACAAAAAAATATAAAAAATGATAGAAAATAAGAAAAAATAAATTTATAAAGAAAAAAAAGTAAGCGAAGCAACTAATCTTTAATCTTTAAAAGTCATAACTAATAAAATATCTAAGCCAAATTTAATAAAAAAATTATAATTCTCAATCAATTCAATAAAAAATAGTGAGGAAAAAATTTACTGGAAAAAAATTCAAGTACTATGCAATTTAAAAAATAAAATAAAAAATGATGTCAGATAAAATAAATATCAATTAAAAAATAAAGATTAAATTTTAAAAATAAATAAATTATCGGATATGAAATTAAAAAAAAAATTGTAAAAACTAAGCAAACCCGAATAAATATCCTAAATCTTGTCAAATTTTAAAAACTCACAATCTTGAAACTTTAAATCGGAGTTAAATCAAAAGGTTAATTATGAGTCAATTTAGAATTTAAAATTGTTTTGAAGCAAACAAAAAATTAACAATTAAAAGAATATTAATTAAATTTAATAGAAAAGACAAAGAAAGATAAAATTATAAAATGAAATTATCTATAATTTAAAATAAAAAATTGTCGAGGCTATAAAATTTACAATAAAAAAAAGATGGAATAAGTTTAATAGGAAAAAAAAGTAAAGGATAGTGAAATTATAAAACAGAATCAATTGAAAAAATAATTATGAATAAAAAAATAGAAATAAAATGAATAGGCGCTAAATTCAATAAAGTTTCTAGCTAGATGCCCCGTAATGTGCCGCTCAAATATATTTGTTTTGCCATGAATGCACCGACAGTTTTTCTAATTATATTTAACTAGTGTGATTTACAACAATGTTAGCGAGTATCTTGAAAATTATAATAAAAACAATATAAAAAGCTTTTTAATGATAATTCAATTTGTTTTGTCTTTAAGGGCACTAGAGCAACAACATTATCTTAAAAAAATTGAAAATAAAAAAACATCACCTAGTAATAGGTATTAAATTATTTTATTGTAAAATTAAATCAATAATTTTACTATACAAAATAAAATAAAATTACCAATCTAATCTGTAGTTTTAAAACCCTGCTTGGCCAGGCGGGTTGATCCGGACCCAATTAACCTGGGACTAGACTTGAGTCGGGTTAAAAAAAAATAAAAAAAGAAAAAATTCAGTATAACCCGGCAAAACTCGGTTGCAAATCTGATGACTTTTGTTTTTATGTTAAAATAATATCGTTTTAATTTTTATAAAAAAATAAAATTTAACCCAACCGACCCAATCAAAATCCATTAACCTAGTTAATATCTAAAATCTAAATCTTATACCAGATCAATTAGTAGACCGAGTTTTTTAGCTATGATCTAATCTGTACAATTTAAAAAGAATAATTGTGTGATGTTAAGAAGACAATTGTTTTTTTCATTCAAGGGCAAATTTATAATTTCATCATTACAATAAATAATAATTTGTGATTTGATGCACAGTAGCTTAGGGATTTAGGTTTTTATTTTTATTTTTAGTGTAATTAATAAAGTATTACTTAATTTACCCAAGTTAAATTTGTCAATAAAATGTGGGGGAAGGGATGAAAATAGGTTACTGTCTCTGGCCCAAACATAGGCTTCACGATTTTGATTGTTTTAAAGAGCCGAAGAAGTTCAATAACAGGTTATGGTCCATACCAAGTTACTAGAGTGGATCATGGAGCCTTCTTCAGCGGCCCATGAGTCATGACTAAGGGCAGTCCATTGGGCAAGAAAAGAAAAAAGTAACCACCATAATAAATTCAGGTAAGGTAAAGTAAATAAAATTAACCTGTAAAAGATTGGAAATCGGAAACAGATAAGGGAGAACGTGAACTTAGAATTCAGAGCTAAATTCTAAAACGGGCGAAAAAAGAGGCCAATTGATGGACGTCTAATCTAATCTAATTAGTTTAGTTAGGTATTAACCCGACGACCATTTTCCTCCTCCCTTTGACCTCTTCCTCCTCACTTTCTACTGTTCTACCAAGAATCCAAATTTGAATTCGGTGATTTTCCTGCAAAAAATTCCAACTACCAATTTCAATTTTTTTTTCACCTATCTTCTTGTCTCCTTGTACTTTACATTAATTTACTGCCGTTAGGGTGCTTTAAAATTCAAATTTGGTCCGTGGACTATCCTAGATTTGTTCTGATTAGGGATTTCTATCGCGAATCAAGCTGAGCTAGGTTATCGATGATGCTTCAAGCTGTTGTTTTTGATCGTATGCAGTTTTTTTTTAATTATTTAACTGGTATGAAACAGGAATTTGTAACGGAGAAAATGTGCCATCAGAATTGTGGCGTGGAGCATTTGTCCGTAGAAGAGGCAATTGCAGCTGATGAGAGTCTACTTATTTACTGCAAGCCTGTTGAGCTTTACAATATCCTTCGCCGCCGTGCTCAAGACAACGTAATTAATCCCCCCTTTTCTTACTTCTTATTCTATTTAATCTAAGAATCTCTATATTTAGTCATTTTTTTTAAATGATGCCTTTTTTTTTAATTAAATCATCGTATGACCTTGTTACCTTTTCACTTCCTGGAACTTGCTAACGTAAAATATAGTCAGTCTGATTGTGGTTTTTGTGCAATTTGTCTTCAACGGTATTGGGATGCATAACGTGTTATCTACCTCATTGCTCCGACTCCGTTCTTGATGTTCTTCACATTATTCCTTCTCTTTTGTATGGTGGACTCTAGTGATGGAAAATAGTCACACTGTGATCACCTTTATTTGATAAAATATGTTCATTACGATGGTTAGGTATGCGACTCATTTAGCTTAATTAGTGTATCATCATCAAACTCTTCTTTAAATCTGTTAAAATGCAAGAAATCAACAGGGTTTTTTATGCTATATGAATTGGATTGCATTGTTATCCTGAATTTATTCAGCACAAGATATTTGATGCCCTTTTCATGTTTATGTGTTATGTGTTTGTGCTTAATTTCCAGGGCTTCTTTCTTAGACATTCATGCGATGTTTCTGCTTTATAATTACATGCTTTATCTGCTGCAGCCTTCATTTCTTCGAAGATGTTTGCGTTACAAAATAAAAGAAAGGCGTAAAAAGAGGTATGTGTTTCAACCTTTATAAGTTTCATTGCAAGGCACTGGCAATTATAACTTCATCTGCTTAATATATGTGGCTGCATATGCTTTTCTAGGTTAAGAGATGGAATTGTAATTTTCAACTACAAGGACTACAAGAACATGCTACGAAAGACTGAAGGTTATTCCGACTCTTCTGCGTAATGCTTTTAAGATTTTGTCCTTGCATGTTACTTGTTTTCTCTGTGTTTGTTTTATTTTTTTGTGGATTGCTGGTAAACTTTTAAGATTCATGTTCTACTGACTAAATTTGTCCCACCATGATTTTCTAAAGTAAAATTGTTGTTTGTC